CACCCACCCCCGACCACCATCCTTAACTTAGTGTCTGATATTCTGTGTACGTATTCATTTATGGGTTCATTCGCTTTTGTGTTTTACCACCTGTCTTTTTTCACTAGAACATAAACTCCGTGAGAGGAGGTACTATATTGTCTCATCCACTCACTTAACTCTGCACAATGTTTAGCGCATAGTATGTGCTAAATAAATACTTGAATGAATAAATGAGTGAATCGGTTCTTTCTATCATAGGCTCACAGAAGCTCAGGTTCAAAACTGACCATTTCCATGGCCATGAACAGCCTACCCAGAGGAGCATGTGCTTCACCCTCCTTTCTGTGGCCCCGATTTTCAATTTAAATTCCATTAACATTATTATCCATATACAGCATATACCGTTCCACGTAAACAATTTAAAACGCTTCATGGGAAGATGTAGGGCATAAAGAAAGAAAGCAAACACTCTGGCCATATCCTCTCTCTTCTCAGGTTTGATAAACAAATATATAATTTGTCTCCACATAACCTCCCCCCAGGGACTGCTTTGATTCGTTCATCCTTAGCTACACTCTGGCTCACGTTCATCCTGGCTACATCCTTTTTGAAGACACAAAGCAACCTGCCCTCTCTGCCTAGAACAGCCATCTTGAGGTCTGAAGACAGGGACCACGGCTCCCCTTCTCCAGCTATAACTGCACTTCTCAAGGATGGACCTGCCCATGATCTCGGGTGACACTCCCATGTCCTGGTGTCCTCCAATTGGGTGATGTCCTCCTTGGGTGGGGGTATCCCGGCTGGAACAGGAGGTCTCCCATGTGGCCTCATCAGTGCACATCAGAATGGAGCCACTCCAGCTGGTACTTCCATTTGTGCCCACTTGGCAGAAGTCCTGAGCCACCAGCTGCAAGGGAGGTGTGCTGGCCACGGTGAGACAGAAGCTCCCTGGAGCTCAGAATCTATGACACGTTTAGTGTGCCCTGGGTTATTTCATTGTGTAATTTAAAATACCTACTACATTTCTGATGATAAAAATAACATAAGCTCACTGCAGAAAATAGAGAAAAGCACGGAGAAGAAATCAGAAATCACCTATACTCCTGCAACCCAGACAAAACCACTATCAACATTCAAAGTATCTCCTTCCAGTCTTTTTTTCTATGCCCGTGAATATGCACGGAAACGTGCACACACACTTCAGTTTATCCTGGTTAGGACAGTACTGAACATAAGAGTTCTGCTTCCTCTTCGCTTGTCTTTAACATCTTGGGAGCACTCCCCATGCCATCAAAGATTCTTGGTGTAGTTGGTTTTGACAGTTGTGCATCTTACAGATGAACCCTGATTTCTTATGCGTTCCATGGCAAGAGTAGACTCTGCAGGACCAGTCAGGCCTTTGTAAAGAAATCCCTCACAGGGTGGAGGGGCTCACTCACCTCCTCGTTCTCGATCTTGAGAGTGGCCAGTCTGGACTGCAGCTGGTGGTACCGCATGAGCAGTTCCGTCTGGACGGGCTGCTGAGCACTGACCTGGCACACCTGCAGAAATGACAGCCACCGCCTGCGGTTGACTGGGGCCCTCGCCACCTGTGCGTAGCTGGGGCCGGCCTATCATTAACATCCCCATCGACAACTGCATAAACAGGCCTGGAAAGGTTAAGTGACGTGCCCAAGGTCACACAGCTTGTACCCAGCGACACCAGAGCCAGCCGGGAGCCAGGGGCCACCCTCTCACGCTCTCCGTTGTGGTCTACATTTGTGCAGCATGTGACGGTTTGCTACTCAGAGCTTGGACATAATCTCATTAAGTGAGACTAATTGGTTAATTTCCAGGCAGGAAGTGGTGGTAAGGAAGCAACTGCCTAAGAGAAGCCAGTGAAAAGAACAAAGGATGGGAAACAGTCAGCAGGGTGGCCCAGCAGGAAGATGCTCGAGAGAGAGGCAGGCACGGGGCAGCGGCCCTCTCGCAGGGGCCGCTGAGAGAGGAGGGGAGAGGAGAAGAAGATGAGAGCGCGATGCTGCTCGCCTACACCCATCCCCACCGGGCTCCCACTACCTGTGGGCTGGGCCGCCTGCCGAACTCGGCTGAGCTCATAAGGGACAGCAGGCCTCTGCTCTTTACCACTAACTGGGCAACCCAACCCTGCAGTCACCAGCTGATGAGCCAGAGGGCTGGACATGAGGGCACAGGGATGGGGCAGGAGCTGTGCGGAAGCCCGGCAGAAGGCATCTCTTGCAAATGAAGAAAGTGGGCAGAGCCACTGGAGGGTCCAGCAAATGCCATCGTTAAAGGCGCCTCCTGGTCCCTCCCTGCTAAGCAGGTGCAGCGACAGCCCAGCTGAGCTCCCACTGGGATCCAGAGGCTGGCTGGGTCCCACTGACTCTCGTGTGCCTGGGGGCAGGGAACAGGGCCACTAGGAGAAAGTTCTGGGCACATGTCCCGGGGGTAGAGATGGTGGAGACGGGGAGGCAGATATGACACCTCGTGGCTGTCTCCGTTGGTTCCAGGGACTGGGGCCTGAGCCCTGGAGAGAGGGAGGAATGACATGGAAAACCTCAAGGAGCTATTTTCGTAAGTTGTGTGAAACTCAGGTAACTAGTGTGCTGCTTAGGGGCTAGTGAAGAGCGCCTTCTCCCATTTTTGTTTCCAGAACATAATGAGGATGTGAGCAGCGCAAGCCCTGAAGAAAACTGGGTTGGCTGGTACTCCAAGGGCTCACGGCACTGGAGCACAGGTCCGAGTGGCTCTGCTGAGGCCCCGCCTTCGGTGACTTGAGGCCATCCGTCCGAGGGGAGAATGTGAGATGACTGTCTGTGTGCAGATGTGGGACTCCCTTGGGGTCTTCTAGACATAGCTGCAAGGGATTTCATGGGAAGCTATGGTCTTGCAGTTCTGCAGGTGGGGGACTTGAGCTGCCAAGGTTAGGGTATTCGTGGTAAAGTCCTCAGCTGGGGAAGCCCATGAACCAAGAACTTGACCCCAGGCCTCTCAGCTGACGTTCTCCTCCCACCGATGCTCTGGGAGCCCATGGGAGACAGATGGAAGCAACCTCAAGCATGGGCTCCTGGGAGAAGCCTACCTCGTCCCCCATGTGGGGCTGGAACTCAAACTTGAGGGGGGGACAGAAGACCTGGTTGCACATGTCCATGACTGTGTGCTTGTCACTTCGGGAATCCAGGTTGTCCACCGCATTCTCGACGACGTCCAGCCCCTCGTGGCGAGAGGTCTCCAGGTTGTACTCGGCTGAGAGGTAGGTCCGGAAGGTGCGGGCCAGGCTGGCATGAAAGCCCAAATCACAGCACTTGGAGAGAAGTACACACAGAAGGTGCAGGTGAGGGTGGTGACATGGAGGTGGGGCCGTCACAGTGACTTACGATTACCTCCTATTCCGCGGTCAAATCTTTCATGCTGGAGGCCCTCATGCACTTTGGAATCTTACCACACAAGTCATGGCAAAGCCCTCGGAGGGAGCAGGGGACTGCGATCTGGGCAATGACAGTGCTCCTCGCGGCTCCCCAAACTCACTGCTTTCTTTCTCATCTCCAGGCCTTCACACACGCATTCCCTCTGCCCAAAGACTCTTCCTCTCTCCTCCTGCCTAAATACTCTTCCTTTGGTTTCAGTTTAGAGGTCACTTCCTCCAGGAAGCCTTCCTTGATGTTCTCCCCACTCAGAGTTCACACCAGGTGTCCCTCATCCAGGTGTCCACAACTCCCTCCACCTCTCTCATGGTAACACCCACTGCTTGGCATTACGTTTGCCTTTAATGCATCAGGGTTATGCAGGCTGAGCTCCATGAGGACAGACCCACTGGCTCTTATCCACGGTTGTATCTCAAGAGCTAGAGCTAGTAGGCACTCAATAAAAATTTGGTAAATAAAAAGATGAAAGGGTTGTGTGAAAAAGAAAGCCGAAAGGTAGGAAAGAGGAGGGGTCTGGCCCCCGGGCATTTGGAAGGCAGGGCCAGGCAGCTCCCTCTCCTGGGGGTGGTGATAATGGCGATAATGGGTCCCCTCTGCAGCCAAGGGAAGAG